AGAAAAAACGAAAATTAAGTAAGAATTTAATCACGAATAAAATACAAAAAATCATCTAATGAATGATAACATCAAGAAATTTTTATAGTTCGTTGTTGTTAAGTACAAGCTAGGTTTTTTTGACGAATATATGAATAGATTCAACTATTAAATTGATTGTTCTTCGTTTTATGATATTTATAAAGTTTTATCTTATTCTTTACAAACCATAAACAATATTCACTACGTACATTTTTGATATCTCCAGAGGATACTTGCTTGAGAATTGAATTTTTTCTTACAGATTATATTACGAATTCGATGACTATTTCTCACTATATAATAGGAAAAAAAACCGTCGAAAATGAAATAGATAATGTAGACAAGAGAGAACTAGTTATTAGTTGGACATACATACGCGTATGAAAAATTCTAAAATGTGATATCTAATGAGGAAACTAGCTGAACTATAACTTGCCGTTTGAGCACATAAGGAAGTGTTGATAAGACTAGAAAAAGCTTTAAAAGGTTCATCCACATAAGTGTTTAGAGTCGAGTTATGACAGTTTTACTAAGTTTCACCCATAGGTACATCTAATGACTCTTAGAATATTCTGAAAGTTTCAGACGAAAAGAATCTTTCCTTATCGAGATATTGAATTTCTGAATAAACTCGATTTTCGTAACAAGGGATTATTGGCTGGAAATTCAATATCTCGACAAATAAACACTCTTTTCGATTGAAAATTTCAGAATATTTTAATGGTCATTAAACCTATCTATGGGTTGAATCTCAGCTCGAAAATTCAGTAAAACAGTCCTAACTCGGGTTCACAGACCTATACACACGAATCTTTTTAGAATTTTTCTAGTTTTAATTCTATTAATCTTTCTTTATATTAGATGTCAAAATCAAGCTAACTCAAATACTCCAATATCAGTCGTCGCTCCATTGACAATTCCTTCTCCGTCTTCTTCGGCGCCTTCACGTTCACCTTCTCCACCGCCTCATTCGTCTTCTCCACCAACTCCAATAAATCCTGTTATTCCATCTTTATCAAATGATGCTAAATTACCATATTCATCAGCTAATTCTCCATCATCAAAAAAATCCCAGGCAATTCGTTATACAAATAATAATGCTGCTATACTTCCTTCTTATCCACCATTACCACCATCACATAATCGTCGATCAAATAATATAACAACGTCATCATCAGGTTCATCATCTTCAGCTGATGCTAGTCGATCATTACCATCTGGTGATGTTAATCATTTAAATGATGCACGTGCTCGTCGTCGTCTTCGTGTACGTTTAAGTAATCCATTACCAATTAATGAACAACAAATGGATTTAAATTTTTTATCAAATCTTAGTGAAAATGATACATTAAAACGTCGACAACGTAATCAACAAATTAATAAGCATTTAAAACAATATCAACAAGCATCATCCGATGATGAACATGACATACCATTGAATGCTAATCCGTCTCAACCAGTTATTGTAAATATTTCTTCTTTCTCTATCTCTCATTCTCTTTTATTTGATTTATTTTCTTATTAGGTAGTTGTTCAACCAAAAAAATTAGTAAAACAAAATTCAGCAGGATCATCAACTGAATCAAATCCTAATAAATTATCATTTGATGATGATATTGATTCGTATGAACGTGAATTAAATATAAATTCTCGACAACAACAACAACAACAACCATCGAAATCAAAAATTACAAAATCATATGATTCAAATAATAATCTTCCAAATTCAAATGCACGTCAACGTCGTCGTGATAGTCGCATGCAATCATCAGTTGAATCATCAAGTCAAATAACATCAAATAATAGTAATCATGAATTATCTCCTTCAAACTCACAAGATTTAATCATAGCTGAAATTGAAAAGAAAAAAGAAGGGTATGATTTAATATTAAATTTATTTCAATATATAAATTCTATTTATATTTTTTTTCTTCTTCTTCTTTCAGAGAAAAAGATATGAATGATTTACTTTTTATGTTAACTGCTACATTAAAATTAGCACCTGTACTATCTACAAATATTCAAGATTCTGATCTTGATCTAAATGAATTAACAAATAGTAGTAATGATAGTGATAAAACAGTTATTGACGATGGTTATTCTCATTCAGGATCCGCAGAACAAAGTAATGTATATAAATATATTTAAAAAAAAAATACATGTTTTATTTTTGATAAATAGTTTCAAGACCATGGTCATCTGGTGATCGAACAATGGAAGTTCCATTACATCAGACAAATCATCTTTTTAAACGTTGTCAAGGATTAAAAGAGTAAGATAAATCTAACTGTATTCGTTGGATAGAATTGAATAAGTTATTGTCCAGGCTTACAAACGAAGTTCCTTAACCAATTAATCGATTTTTTTTGTTTTGAATTTCTGCTTGAAAATTTTCTATGGAGGACAGTTCTTAATGGAAATAGTTTACTGTGAAAGTTTTAGATCTTGTTGTTCTTTCTACACTAAGATAGATTATGGTAGAAATGATTCTTTTATATCGCTCATATGTACCAATCGATGTGATGTTCTTATTTTTCGAACAGAACTAAATAAAACGATCTTAAGCTTTCACAATAAACAATTCTCATTATTTCAAGTCGAAATTCAAAAATGAGTTTATTCAATATTTCCGAGAGGGATCAAGGCATTGAGTAAAAAGAAAATGTCAAAAGGATATAGAATTTTCTCAGAAATAAGTTAAGGGTTCAAACTCTTTTCAAGGTATTCCTACTTCATTAGAATCTACATAATGTATATAGTCTCGATTAAAACAGAAATTAATCAATTGTAGGACCTCTCTCTCTCTCTCTGGTTAGTAGACAGTGTAATGAATCCAACGATCATCAATATCAATTTTTTCTTCAATTCATTGACATATGTTAACTAACCCAGTTAAGCTTTCTGCTCTAGACTAAAAATGTCAAAGTTTCATATAAGTCCAAGCTTATTGAAAAAGAACTATTCGAACAATTCATTATAATAGCTCGTATGCATGTACATTCTCATCCGTTCATCAAGTTTATTTGTCCTTCAAGAAATATATTTGACAATTAACGTTATAAGTGTGCTAAGTGAATCCGTTTTTCAGCATCACCAATTATATTTTGTGCAAAATCTGATGCGTTTTAATTTCAAACAACGTCAAAGAACTGTAACTGTTAATAAGTTCCTCACACCTTATGAGTTTGACATGTCAGACAATTATTCTAAATGATAGCACATAAAATTTTATTAACTACAAATATATATTCATTAAATTTTCATATACATGTCAAATTATTTTTTTCAGAGAATGTCTTCGTGAAATTAGTTCAGAACAGTTACAACGCGTTTTAAATATACTTGAAAATGTTAGTCAAGCACAAATGACAGTAAGTACAAAAAAAAACACAAATAAAATATTACTATAAAAATTTCTTTTATTCGTTTATTTAAAGAATGAAATGATTGCTGAACTTGGCGAATATTTATATCAAAAATATGCTCCACAAATATTTTTGCTCAAATTTTATGAAGACAATTTACGCACACATACATGAAATTGATCTGGTCATTGATTGTTTCTTTTCTGTTTTCTATCTATCTATCTATCTTTACTTTTATTATTTGAAAAAGAAACCGAGTGAGCATGAGACATGTAATTTTAATATCTTCAAATTTTTGTTTTGAAGATGGTTTTTTTTTCATGTTTGTATATTTAATATTGCTTTCATAATATAATTGTCTATTGTGTTTATGTATACTTATTTTATCTTTTTTGTCTTGCAATGAATATATGCTTTGTTTACTTGTAAACACGTTAGCAATATAAATATACCTTGTTCTTCTTTTGTTTTTCAAAACATTCTATAATAGATTGTAGTATTGATGACTATTCTTTGTTAAATGATCATTTTAACATAGAGTTAATGATTTGATATAGATCTTTGAAGATGAGCAGTCAAGTCAAAAAAAAAGAGCTTATATATATATATGTACAGATGCTTTATTCACTTCAATTTTTATTTCTTAATGTATTTGAAAAAAAATAAAACTCATGTACTGCAAATATTTTTATCGAGTGATTTCACGTTAAAATTAAATGAATGTTTCGAAAATACGTTGCAAATCTTTTGTTTGTCGCTTCTTTTTCTAATAATTTGTTTTATCAAAAATATGTTGATATGATTTCTTTGTATTATAATAATAAAATTAGTAAATACTCTAATAAACTCTTGTTGACTCTAATATGAATCAAGAATATAATTCTTTCAACAATTCATCTTCATCTTAAGACGACGTTCAAATGCAAGCAATAGATCTAATCACTTCAGTAGTTGCTACTACATCAATTGGGTTTGCCGTTGTCAATTGTAGAATGATCAGCCATGAAAACTATTGAATCCAAAAGCCAGCATAACAAGTTGTCGAGTGACGATTCATTTTTTATATGAAAGAGTGCATGATCAATTAAAAGCTTTTTGTTCAACAGCCACATTTTTATCTTTAGCTTTGGACGTTTGGAATGACAGCAGGTTGAGATCTTTTTTTCGTTGTAACTGGCATGATCTTTTTTTTATAGAAATAATTTATATTTTGCTTCGATTTGACTCGTCCATCTCTATGAATCATTCAAATTTAACTTGCAGTCATATATTTTCAAAGACTTTGTATTTTAAAAAGTTGATAGAATATTCAAAATTGAACATAAAATATCGTTTTTTTTGTCATAGACTAAGTACAGTCAAATAAATCACTTTGAAAGATTGATTTGTAAAAGATGTTACAAGAACGTAGGTTATTGAGATCATTTTTTTTTCAGATAATAGAATGAATTAAAAAAAATGATGTTCTAGACACGTATTCTTCGAAAAGAATATGAAGAAAAGGCATAGAATTTAAATAACTGTCATGTATTCATGCTGAATTAATAATGAAAAAAAAAAATTTTCACAAGAATATATAAATGGAAATCATGTCATATCTTTTTGTCTTTATATTCATAATGGTCGTTGATAATGTTCAGCAGTTGATTGTGTTGTATCGCCTTCATTCTTAACTATTTCACCTTTTCGATCATCTGCTCTTGTTCCTGCTCCGCCATGTTCACTACCTAATTTGCCAAAATTTCGATCGATAGATGGTCCCACATGACTATGTAATGTTGGATGTGTAGTTGTCATAGGTACTGATGATGATGATTCTACAACCGAATTAGAACTTATAGGAACATTACCGAAATGAGTTTGATCGACATTTGTTGGTTTACCAGCTGCACTTGGATAATTAAAACCTGATGTATCAGCATTAGGATTTGGATTGTGCGACATAGTTGAGATCAATATACAGATGTGTATTACGTATTCTAGTTTTATTTGATTATGACTTGAAGAAAAAGAAAGGTAACTGGGTAGAGTAAAAAGAGAACAGACAAAAAAAAATTCTTCTCGCAATAAAAGAACGCAAAAAAAAAAAGAATTTTTAATATTTTGCTCGTTGTCGTAGTTTGTCTGAGTAGAATTTTGATTCGACATTTTCTTCACTCGACAATGTATTGATGTTAGTTTGATAATATTGTTTAGTTGAAGTTAAATCATCAATAAGATATCGTCGTTTATGAACAATATCATCATTTGAATAAACATTTTTCATAATATCATAATTAACTGGAACAAGAAATTGACGACTATTCGACATTTATTATTTGTGTTGTTGCCTTGTCAATAGAACATACAGTGAAATGAAGTTGTTTGTTCTTATGGAATATAATTCCTAGGAAAAAAAAAAAGAAAAAAATATTGGAAATAAAACAGAAGAAAGAAAGAAAAAATCATCGATCATAGAAACAGTTAAAATTGATTTAGAAATGAAATGAAACAAAACCAAAAGTTTTGTAAAATTGATTTTTTTGCAAATATTTGAACATAGAAATAACATTTGATTCTAATTCGCTTCTCATGCGATACAAAATTTAAAATTCTACAAACTCTTGTGAACTTTGATTAAAAGCGATGAAACAAAAAATATGTAGAGTCTATATGATGTCATTGCATCAATGACATCTACTTCCTATACGATATCTGATAATGCATTATTTTTATGTAAAAGAATATTTAGTTTTCAAAATATAATTTACTTCTAGACAATACTCGAAAATCTCTATCGATTATGCATAATACAATGTTTTTTTTAATAAGCATGCTTTTGCTTATGCAACCAATTAATCATTTTCAAAACGAGTATTCTAAAAATAGTGCCTATGACCAAATTACATTTCCTAAAGAATTGATTTGTCTTCCGACTAACAAACAAAATAACACTTTATACAACGAATCAGTCGGAAAAAGTTTGAATATTGTAAAACGTGCCTCGTTTTATTGTAGATGCTCAAACCAATGATTTCTGTAAGGCGAATATTTATTATTATTAAACAATTATAAATAATACTGAAAAATGTATTTTGCTTAAAGTTCAATGAGAAATGCTTAGACGCTTAGATCTTTGCCAATAAATTAAAAAGAGCTTTCGAAACACGCATAGATTTATATAGAAAATAAATATCATTCATAGAATTACATCATGCAATCGATAAATAAATTTTGTTCTATAGTTTTAAATTACATTCAACACAGACTTTTAGAGAATTAAATTCTATATCCTCTGACATTGATATTAGAATGGCGTAGTATTTTTATGCACGAATATTTTCATAAGAAAGAATATTGCAAAAACTATTATCACACTTAGTATTTCTCTTGAATGATAAAATCAAACAGAAATCAAGGACAAATACTTTTGTAAATCTTTCAATAGGTTTTTTCTAATAATATCTCGTTATCTTTAATATTTTGTTTAAAAAGTGAATACAAAAAATATGAGAAAAAGTTGTTTGTCTTCTACATTGTTTTTTTTTATTATTAAAATGATTCATTGTGTTTTTCTTTTGTACGCGTTGTCATAACGAACTGAATGTCACACAATTGTTATTGCGTAGGTTTTCAATTAAATGATTTAAAAATAAACTTTTCATTGTCAACTATTACGTTAGAATTTTTTTTGTGTAAGTATTTGTCAATATGTTGACCAATTCAAAGAAATAAAATGACTTTAAACTCTATAAACTCGGAATTGCTTCACAACTAAAAAATATCTAAATTTGAATATATACATAAGCATATGAGTCATATAACACAAAATAATTTCTCAATAAGCAAAATCTTTATATTTTTTAGTTTTAATTCTAAAACTGAAGAATAATAGAAACATGTTAGGAAAATATTAAGTGATTTCCTACTCTATATAAAATTCTACGCGATACATAACTTGTAAGCCGACACTTATTTTTTTTTTCTACAGAAAAAAAACAAAAATCAAATAAAACTATAATAAAACATAATGGCATCCACAAATTCTTCTTCTATTTCTACATTTATTTGTTCTGTCGTTTCTTTTTTTTTTGATAAGATAACCAGCGTTTAGAATTCTTCCAATTTCTTGAAATCCTAATGATCTCCAAAGACGAATACTAAATGTATTATTTGAAAATACTAAATTAAACATTGAAGCTTTATAACATAATAATGGAGTAATTTTAATGAAGGCTAATGCCATAATTCTACCAATGCCTTGATTTCGATAAATATTCGATGTGATAAATCCTCCATTGCAAATCTAAAGTAGTATATAAATAACGGATATCACAAAAGTTTTGCATTAATTTTGTTTTCAGTATAACGTGAGAACCACTTGTCCTGTAGACTCGATAATCTTTTTGTGTTAGAAAGAACAAAGTCTCTACTACAAAGCTATATAAAAATATTCGTTTCAAAATACTTATCGAAGGCTGCGAAGTTTGAAGAACATGTTTGATTGAAAAAAATGTCTTGCAACTTCACATATAATCAGTGATGAGAGGTGTATTTGATTGACTTGTCTTGCAATTGGTTTTCGAAATTTTAAAAGATGTTATGTGTGATTGTAATCAACGCGATTCAGGCTTTTTAATGATATCAAAATAGTCAAGTTACAAAATCACAGATTCTACAGGAAACAACTTTATTAAATACTTAATGTTCTTTCTACAACGCTCAATGGAGTTGTTCTCATAATGTCTAATATTCCGCTTTATATAAGGTACTCACTAAACTCTTATTGGACATAAAATATGGGGTTTTACTAACTTCGATTGTTCAAAAGACATCTTATTTGCCAAAATCATTTCTCAGTTACGAACATTTTTCTTTACCAAAAGTCATTAGAAAAATGTCGATTTCAAACTCAATTGATAATTTGAAAATATTAGTTTTATCTGTTTACAATGCCCTGTCGTACTGTTACAAAATTCGATAAAACATGGCAAACAAGATCAATTTTCTTAATGGATGAAGATTTTCTTCTAAATTTCAGAAGCTTGCAGAGAACTTTTTCAACTAAGCATGCTCTTAAAACTTTTTAACCTTCACCAAGTATTTTAAATGAAATATTTTTACAACATTTTTGTAATAGAGACTTTACTCTTTCTAACAAGAGCACTATCAAGTCTCCACGACTAGTTGTTATCATGCTATACTGAAAACAAAGTTAATGCAAAACTTTTACACCATCTGTTAGATAATAATACAAAGATTTGTTAATTATATGAGAATATCGACCAGGAAAGTTTGGTTTAATATAAAATGTACCTAATATAGCGTTTTCAAGATTATTAGAAAAATCGATTGATAAATTTGTTCTACTATTAATAACAATGAAAACATCTCCGACTAAGAAATAATTCTTGAATTCAGATAAATTAAGTGGAAATTTTGGTGCATAAGTATTTCCAGCTTCAATTTCTTTGTTTAATAAAGATTGCAAATAACATATTAATTTTGATTCATCTTCTAATTATTTTAGAATAGTAGTTAATGAATGAATAGATACTAATTGATTAGATTTAGTTATACTTTCTATGGGAAGTAATGATTCTAATTTCGATGAGTTATATTCTTTTGGTCGATCAGTTGTTTCATAAATTGATGACATGAATGAAAACTTTTACTTAGTCTAATTTATCTAAAAGGTTTTTGAAAGAATAAGATATCTTAATCGATAATATAAAAACAAAGGTAATGAAATGGAGATTTCAAATTGAGCTGTGTCTTACTACGTTCAATAAAGACTAAAAATAATATTCTTTGCTTTGTTATGTTGATCAATATTAGTGCTGTTTGAATGATTATTGATATCTGTTTCTTTACAACCTCCTTGATATGAATTAACATTCATTTTTCTACTATTTGAAGTTAATGAAAATTGAATATCAAATGCAATTCAAAAGATAAAATATTGTTTATCTTATTGTTTGCTTTGCTTATCATCCATTCAAGGTGATATGTACAATTCACAAGAACAATCTATTAAAGAAAGAAAAGGGAGAAAGATGAAAACGACATTATTTTTGTCGGGTACATCATTTACAAAATAATCATGTGCTCATCATATACGCGTTCGAATGTTTGTATTCATGATCCATTCTAGAAGTAGAATGTTTAGACTTCTATTTTGATATTTGTCATTATGTCGGAACAAAAATACTGTTTACGATTGTTATAATTTCAGCGAAAAACATTTATTTTAAAATGTATCGCTTACTTTAATTCCTGTTTTGTGTGTGAAATTTATTCCTCGTCTCTTTTTATCGGATTGGAATTATCTTAAAATACTATTATCACTATGTTGTGTAAGTTGCCTTGATACAAAAACAAATCAATGGAAACAGATCAGAGACATTTTATCGGTATTAACTTCAAGAGCAACATCTCCAAAATATTAATAAAACTCTTTTGTTTTTTGAAAATTTTCATTGGATCTACTAGAACCAGTTATTTGATTGATAAAACCGCATATTTTCAACATTGAAGGAAGAATAAGTTCGAAAATTGAAAGATGGACATAATGGATACAAATAGTTGTTTTTCAGTATTACTTTTCCGATACTGATTAAAATTTATATATATATATATTTTTTTTTGTCATTTATTTTATTTTAAACTTATTAACAATATTCCAATAAGTCTTATCTTTACATTCTACATAAACATCAAAATGATAATTTGTTCTTTTATATTCGATTGTCGATATAATAGAAATAATAATAATAATAATTAATTAATTAATTTAATATTGTCGTCGATAAGCACTTATTGGTTCCACATTTGTAGCAAACAAACTTTCATCAAAACGTTGTTCAGATCGACGTCCCATATCATAACGACAAACTTGTGATGTACTTCTTATACCAGCATAGATTGATTCACCACCATTACCAAAACCAGCAAATGATGGTGAACCATATCTTCGTTGTGCATATTCAAAATAACAAGCTCGATAAACAACAAATAATGAAACTGATATACCAATAATAAATATAATTGAAATAGTAGCAATAACAGTTGATCGTTCAATACCACCTTGACTTGCTAATGATGAACGACTATAAAGAGCTTCTATAAAATAAAAAAAATTAATTAATTAATTAATTAAAAGAAATATTTATTTACCATAAGTTGTTTTAGATTTTTGTGCTGGCTGTGGTAATGGTAATTCAATAGTAAATTGTTGTTGTACTTGTCGTATTTCATAATAACCAGAATTATTATTTTCATCAAATAGATTATTTGTTGATGATTGATCTATTGACCAAGTTAAATCAGATAATAATCTAGCTAATTTTTGTTTTGCTTGTTCTTCATCAATATCGTCTCGTTTTCGTCGTCGTAATGCAATAACACTTGCACCATCTTCATCAACATAATCAAATGGAGCATAATCAGTTGTTGATGTTAATGATGAATTAATTATATTCATTGAATTACGATTTAATGTTGATGATCGTCGTATTTCTGGACATAAACGCTGAGAAAAGAAAAAAAAATTTTTTTTTGTTTGTTTTAAACACAAAAAAATAAATAAATCCATTTACTTCTTGACAATTTTCTATTCGACCATAACATATTGCTATTGAACAACGTAAATAAACAATTGATGTTGTATCAAATTTATGCATTTGAAATATAGTACTTTTAATATGATCTGGATCAATACGTTGAAAACGTATTGATAAACGTGAATCTAATGATGGACAACGATTTGTTAATAGAGGAATTTTTTCTAATTTTATTTCATTATCAGATACACTTGATGCTATTGAACAATTTTCAGCTATAATTTGATGACGATCAGGATTGTGTTCAACTTAAAAAGAAAAATCAAAATCCATTGAAAAGATTAAAAAAATTTTGAAAGAAAAAAAAAATTTATTAGAGAACCTGTTCGATATTTTATTTCAATAAAAAGACGATCACCAATAAAAACTGAACCACCATTATCAATTAAACGTTGTTGAGTTATATCATATAAACCAAGTATAAGATCACCTTGTCGAACAGATTGACTTGGTAATAATGGTGTTACAATTGGTATACTAAACGAACTATTTCATAAATTTATTTTCTTAGCAAAACAAAAAAAACTATATATATATCAAAAAATTTAATATACTTTTCTAACGATTCTGTCATTGGTATTAATGATACTGTTGTTCGATCATGACATAAATCACTATCGATTTGACAAAAACATTTATCCATATAATTATCAGAATCTTCATCTAAACAAACACCACCACGTTCCATACATGAAACACATGTTGAATCCATTGATGCATTAATAACTCTAACTAAATTTTCGAAAATAAGAAAAACAGAAAATGTGTTTTTTTTTCTTTGAAATCAAAAAAAGTATTTCAACAAACCACAATGAGTTTTATTCACAGATATATATTGATCTTTACAAACACATCGAAATGCACTTCCTCCAACACGTTTACAATTGGAATTCAAACTAGTACATGTACCTGGAATGCAAAAATCACCCAAATTATGTTGTGATTGACCTGAAGTTATAAAGGATCAAAAAATACAACATGATTAAATAATTACAAATAAAAATAAACCTCGTCGTTTAGCATCAATCAATGATAAAGACCATAAAATACCAATAAATATTAGAAAATCACACGTGTACATTTCTTATTGCTATATGAACATTTTGATATACTTATTTGTACAAAATTTTCTATTGTCTTTCGTTTGAAATGTTCTTATTTAAAATATGTGAACAAGAGTTTTTTTTCTTCTTATCCTTCTATCGATAGTAATCATTTCCTAATCCTTTTGTCATCATTATTCGTTGTCATTCTTAAGCCAATTATCATCATTTTTCGATCCGATCATCACAATGTACACATACTTGACTATGTCATCGGAATGTTCATTGTGTACTCGAACAGCGTATTTATTTAGAAAGAGACTGAAAGATTTCAATAGATGCCCAAATGAAAGTATTCATGAATACTAACAATTTATACTATTACACAAAAGATGTTTCATAGATATGAGTGGGACTAATTTTATCTTTTGATTCCAATTGAGAAGAGATTCAGTTCTGATATGAAGTTTAGTACAAATTTTGTTAGCATAGGACTTAAAATTACTTCTATATTGTTGTGTGTAAATTTGAAATGTCTTGTATCTATAATGTGACCCATTTCATGGGTGATATTCTCTTAATTGAATGCTAAATTACACATGAATAAGATTCATTTTTTAATCTCGATCGTAGTTTGTTCATGCCTATATGCATAAAAACATTTTTAAAACACATTCGTGAACTGATGTTCATCTTGTATTTGGAACTACCATTGTGATCTTTTAGTTTTGTTATTTTGCTCTAGTCAATTTGAAGGTCAAAGAAAATTCTTTATGTCATATAGCATAAGTATCATATTGGATGCTTAGATTTCTGCTTGCAAATTGATCTACATAGAGCATTTGAGAATTTTCGTTTTTGATGTCTTTTTTTTTACAAAAAAGGGAAAGCATATTTATTGTCAACTGACTACAATCTATTGAACTGAATTTTTAATGAGAAAGATCACGTGAATATAATCTCATGATTATAAAGTCTATTCTTATGAAATAAGCGAGAAACATTAGTATTTCTTATATTCAATAGGTTTTGCACTTTTATAGAATATCCTTCAAGAATAAATATAGTTTTATAAGTGTTCTAATTAAGTCAATTACATGTTTTTTTTGCAATAATCAGATGAGACAATATATCCGAAGCCTCAAGAAAAATAGATATTACCCGATTCTATTAATATGTTTGGTAAAACTTATCAATCAAACTTAAGATTTATATCAAAACATTTTTGTATTCGATTCTCTATATAAACCATTGAAAAAGTTTCTAAAAATCAAAAGACATAGTAAATTGCTATGTTTTGTAAAATAGTATTTTATTGAATTAGAATAGTTCTATTTCATAGAACAATCTACCACATATGTCAATATATAGAGGTGTTAAGGTCAATGAACTTCTCCATAGATTATTTTAAATCGATGATATTATTTGCGATAAACAAATAAGAAACAAAATTCCTCTAAGAAAAAATATAGACATAACAATATTTAAAATAATTCGAAAAATCGAAGTTAGAATTAAAACTTTTACAGAATTAGGAATGTTACTTTATTTTTATTACTCTCTATAATAAAGACTAAATATGAACAAAATAAAATAAAATGAATAGTAAAGAATTTTTTTATGAGAATCTAATGTTTTAATTTTTATCAGGTAGCTCACAAAAATTTATAATATCATAGATACGACTAAAAAATATACAGAAAAGTTTTCTTTTACAGATTTTTTTTATTTATCCGTGTTTGTTATGCTATTATTCATAGATTTTAATCGTTTATTATTTTCATTTTATATGTATATTTTTATTCTCTGATTTATAGTGATATTGTCATCAAATATTGGACCTTAACACATAGAGCAGTGAAAAAATTCTGAGAACTATAGTTCGTTTAAAAAGTCCGTACGTGTGACTATTTTTTGAATATTTCGAGAATGAAACGGGATATGAGACCTGCGGTTTTCGCCAATAGATAGCCACGATGACAGCGCATCTTTTTTCTATCGGACACGAAACGTTCCACGAATCCTCTCAGATCCACTTTTTAACGAATCTCTGAAAGATTGACTGATAGCTCCAAAACTTTACATAGGGATCTAATGATTATTTTATGTCAGTATATAGACTCGAGCGTCCTCTATATAATAGAACTGAAGAGAATCTTTTATATTTTATAGTTTGTGTAGAGGAGCATTGTTGCTGAAACTTCCTACTTCACAAATATAACCATCATGGTATATCTAAGTAAATTAAGATATAGATGTTTTATTGTGCTCTATCTCACAATAACGTTTTTTTTGTCATCCTTGCAAAGATTTCTTCTAGCAGAAAATGTCTTACAGTAGTGCTATTTCTGAGAAAAAACAATGGAATACGTAAAAAGATGATCGGTAGCGGCGAAGTTGGCTAGTTCAAGTATCTGTATATGGTTTAAATTAATATTTTATTGAGTTGTCTATTACATGTCATTCAGTAGAAACGTCATTCTCAGGTTTTATCATATGTTCTGTCGTTTATTAATTTTTTAGAAATACAATCTTGAAATATACGAAAGGCATGTAGGCTTCATCATATGCTCATACTTTATTTTTAGATAGAATAAACAGTTCAAATTTAGTTTATTATGGCAAAAGAGTTTTCACCTCAAAACGACGGAAATTATGTATCGGATTGTTCAATTCATTAAATCAGAAAAATATGGGATAAAAATTCTACTGAACAATGTCAATGATCGTTTATGTACAATGTTAGGTGTTTCATTCCGTTCGATTGATAATCTGAAGAAGGAATTGAAGGAAATCGAGATAGATAAAGAAAGGTCATCGCGTAGACTTCGGCCAGGGTCGAATACAATTACCATTGTAAGAAAGCCATCAATGTTCTCGAAACTGTGAACTTTTGATATTGATCTTATTTAGGATGACACAGTAGAGCAATCAATGTCAGCTAGTAGTTATCTAAAAATTAATTTATTTGACTTTGGGAAGGATATGATTCGATATGAATTTCATCTTTTATTGGCTGAACAAGTATATCCTACATTGGATCGAATGATGACTCGATTATTAGCCGATTTTCCTGACTTTCCAATCAAAAGCAAAGCAACATTGTCGAAAGAACTAAAACAGATGGGATTTGTTTATCAGAAAACTTCGAAGATCAAAACACCATTGAAATCAACATTTTTCATATCACAAAGAGCTAGATATTTTCGACGTATTGATTAGCTCCGGAAGAAAAAAGCACTCATTTTCTACCACGATGGAAAGTAGCATTATTCTGATGACGAAAAGACAAATATTTGGATCGAGGAGCAGACAGGAGGAGGAAAATTTCGCCGTTCAGAAGGAAAAGGTATGTAAAAATGAGTAACTAAGCCTAGTTGATGATCAGTGACTTTGGCTCTAGTTGTAATGTTCCTCTGCTAACCACATACTTTGCATTAAATGATTGATAGATACCCGTCTCGCTATCAATGGGATGATCAGTCGACATGGTTTTCATAAATCGTCTGCAGAAGTATTTCACTGCAAACACGAACGTAATATAGATGGGACACACTTTAATGAATGGATCTATCAAACGTGTATTAGGTTGAGAAAGGAATATGGTAATATGAGGAAATATTCAGAGTTTCCATTTGGAAAAATAGGTATTGTTTTATAGGAAAGAAGGAGAAAATATGTATTGTGGTTGATACTGCCACATGGCATTCCCAACTAACGCATGCATCTAATATACCATTGAGATCTTGGAATAAAAATCAAATTCGTCAATGGTTGATTAATCACTCAGTTTCATTCATCGATCAATATAGTAAATCAGAACTTCTTGAATTAAGTTATGCGTATGCGCCAGAAAAAGAATATATTGTTGATGAAACAGCCAAACAATTTGATATTGAAATTGTACGTCTACCAGTTCGCCATTGTATACTCAGTAAGTAGAAACTAAGAAACTCGTAATTTATTTCACTGAATTTCTCTCTTCATCATGGTTTTTCTTTAGATCCTATTGAAATGTGCTGGGGTGAACTTAAGAAATCCGTTCGAGACCAAAATACCACATTTAAATTAAAAGATGTTGAAAAATGAATTTGGAATTGGCTTAACAATTGTGACTCAACATTCATATCGAATTGCATCGATCACGTACAAGTATATGAAGAAAATTTTAAAAAAGTTGATCAATTCACAGAACAAATCGAGAGTGAACTAAATGATGATGATACTATTGATAATGACTCCGACTTGACTGAAGATGAAGATGAAGATCAATAGCTTCAGATAATAAAGAAATTGCTTCTAATTTTTGTTGTTCCTGTTTTGCTGATTTGGCCATTTTGTATTTGATAGAATATGTTTCTCGATAGAACTGATCAGTTTGATCAAGACTGTACACTTAAAGATAAGAAATCTAAACTTTTTCAGCGATAACAGGACGTTATTGTGAAATAGAACACAATGAAACATCTATATCTTAATTTACTTAGACATACCATGATGGTTATATTTGTGAAGTAGGAAGTTTCAGCAGCAATGTTCCTCCACACAAACTATAAAATATAAAAGATTCTCTTGAGTTCTATTATATAGAGAACGCTCCAGTCTATATACTGACATAAAATAATCATTAGATCCCTATGTAAAGTTTTGGAGCTATCAGTCAATCTTTCAGAGATTCGTTAAAAAGTGGATCTGAGAGGATTCGTCGAACGTTTTGTGTCCGATAGAAAAAAAGATGCGCTGTCATCGTGGCAATCTATTGATGAAAATCGCAGGTCTTATATCTCGTTTCGTTCTCGAAATATTCAAAAAATAGTCACATGTACGGACTTATTAAACGAACTATAGTAACATCACTTTAAGAAGAAGTACATTATATTTATTTGTCTACAGTAAAGGTTAGAAGACATCATAACAACGTTCGATAGCAAAATCGATTTATTTTTGAATAATCTTTTTGTATTCATCGATATGTGTCAAATTAATTATTCGATTATTGCTTAGTGAAATTTATTGCATCTAGGTAGATATTTATTCT